TACAGCTTTATGGATGCTGGCAGAAGACACGAGAGGCCTGGATCAGAAAAAAAGCACATTGTTACTCACAGCAAATAGCAGTAGTCAGAGGACTGTAGTATTTATGCTGATACTTTGTGCTCCAGTTCTCCTTGGGCATCATGAAGAGGGACAGATAACACTGAAATATGCAGTGAGCTGAGTTACATTAAAGGGACCCTGAACTGGGAGAACCCCAATCTTCCATGGAGGGCATTCAACTAGAGGAATTCCAGTGCCTCTCCCCTGACACTATTTCTGCAGTGCAGGCAGAGTGCAGTATTGATCAAATCTAATTAAAGCAAAGAAAATCCATTTCCTCGTAAAAAATGAAAGGAGAGTGTGGAAAGAAGATTTGTTAGGCTTTCTGCCTGCTGGGCCCTATGCTAGGCATTTCCCATGAGCTAACTCATTTCCTCTCACTAGGATTCTGTGTCTAGCATTGCTGTTCCTATTTTATGGATAAGAACATAAAGGCTTAGAAAGGAGTTATTTCCCAAGTTCCTACAACCAGTAAGTGGCAGAGCTGGCATTTTCACTGAGTCTGTCCAATTCCCAAGTACATACTCATTCCACTAAATCAAAACTGCTGCTGTTTGTGAATATTATTTGCTCCCTTATATTAAATATTTTTTCAGAAGCCCATAAAGTCACCATCAAAAAACATAGCATGTTTCATACTGATATTTCTCAGGAAGGCTTCAATTACTTTCCCCCCCTTACTTCAGGAATGTCATAGCTGACTCCCCTAAGCTTGTGTGTGTGTGTGTGTGTGTGTGTGTGTGTGTGTGTTTGTATAACAGCTCAGCAGGGTATTACTAGCACTTTCTTCCCTAGAATTTAGGCATAGTCCTGAATGCTTTTTAAAATTAATCCACAGATTTAGAGACTGGCTTAGAAAAATAGAGGACTTTAAGTGTTTGTCAGAACTGAATTGTTAACATACTTCATGAAGAAATAGGATAGCAGCAGATATGCTATTAAAAAGGCTCGACACACATTATTATTTCTCATTATTTCAATCTAATTTTGTGTGAAATCCAGTAATAATCTATAGTGACATAAAGTGGACCATGTTTTCTCAGGTGAATTGGCTGCATGTTCTCTGAGTAAACATTTGATCCTGCATTTCTCTTCAGGAGATTTTATTATGTAAAATTTAGAAAATGCTTGCTGTGATACCTGGAGGTTAACCTGTGAAAGTCAACCCCGGCCTCCTGGATAGACCTAAAGTTTCTATTTTACTCCTTTGAAAGAAGACATCATAAATTCCTTTCCAGATACATTCTCAAGGGAAATGTTAGTTATATCAGCTATTATTGCCTTACCTCGAAACGGTTTTCATAGTAGCTGGGAAGAGAGTCAGGGAATGCAACAAATAACTGAGCTTTGCTCTGGGAGAGGGAAGGCAGTGGTAAGACAGTGCTGGATGAGATCTAAGGAGAGGGAGGAAGTGAATAAGATCAGGGCTGCAGGTACCTGGGACATGGCTGGTGAGGGTGTTGGAGGTCAGATAGCCAGAGAAAAAGGCAAGCAAGGAAGAATGAGAAAGGCAGGTTGATTTGCTTACTTCATAAAGTTACATAATTTACAAGTTAACATGCTGATACTTTAGCATGAACCCCTGTACCTGGCTATTTTGATAATTTATTCTATACCATATAGTTTAGTTCTTTTTTAAATGGAAAAGAAGATTAAATTGGTAGAAATTATTAAGATGGCTATTTCAAACCTCCTGTCTGTGTTAAGTACTACTATTCTGTAATTGGGAAATTTAAATGCTTTGGGCATTTGGCATGCCGTGCCTTTCTTTACTTATTTTGCATAGAGCAGCCCAGAAAAAAAAAATATATATATATATCTTTGTTAAATAATAAGAAATGCATTTGAAGCCTTTTTAAAAACATCAAACTTATATTTGATATTGAAGTGTGATGGCTAGTACACCCAAATTTTCCAGAGAATTGTGTATGAGAACTTATGAAATACTTTAAGCAGATTATTTATGTTGAAAATTGTTCCAGTCTACAAAGTTTGGACTTGCTCTGTGATCTTGTTTAGCCAAATGTAAATCAGTTTCTAAACAAGCAAGGGCGGTATCTTGACCCATAATCCAAGTTGGTGTCTTTAGTAAAATGTCTTACCTTGAGCTCCGAAGTTTTTTGATGACTAAATCTAGATACAGTAGTTTATTATATGGGAGTAATAACAATCAGCTCACAGGCTTGGGGCCTGTAGCTCAGTGGGCAGGGCACTGGCCACCTACACCCAGGCTGGTGGGTTTGAACCCAGCCCGGGCCTGCTGAACAACAACGACAACTACAGCAATAAAAAATAGCCCAGCGTTGTGGCGGGGGCCTGTGGTCCCAGCTACTTGGGAGGCTGAGGCAAGAGAATAGCTTAAGCCCAAGAGTTTGAGGTTGCTGTGAGCTGTGATGCCAGAGCACTCTACTCAGGGTAACATAGTGAGACTCTGTCTATGAAAAAAGAAAGAAAATCAGTTTCCACTGTGTGATGATTGTGTTACTAAATTCACATGAGTAATAGAAACAGAGTCAGGAGACAGGCATGTTTTAGTGTTATAGGGAATAATGATCTTTAAGAAGATGAAGAACCCACTATTTTTCTTATAACAAAAATATCCTGCAAGTCTTCATATTTTAGTTGAAAGTAGGAGGTTTGTATGTGTTTGAGGGAGAGAAAGGGAGATGAGAATGAGAGGAAGAGGGAGATGTTATTGATTCCAAGACATGTG